TAGTTAAGAAGTATATAACCCTATCACAATTAAATTGCAAGATCAAGCATTCAAAATTTGGGTTTTATGATGCTGCTAACAAACCAACCATAATTTCAGAGCCTTCTCAGAAGGGTATTAAAATGATTGCTGCCCGTACGTAGTCCTGTTGAGATTTCTGCCATTATTTATTGGTCAAAGTGTTCCAGATTCTGAACCTGCATGGTGTCTTCTCTTAACATTAAAAGAAATAGTAGATATTGTTCTTGCACCAAAAATCAATTTATCTTGTGTGTCTCATTTGTCACACTTGATTCAAAATCATCACAATCTTTTTAAAGATATTTCCTTCTGTTAAATTTACACCTAAATTTCATTTTCTTGTACATTATCCACGACTTATTCTTGCATTTGGCCCACTAACTTGTTCCTGGTCAATGTGCTTTGAGGCGAAGTATTTATATTTTAAACATGTTGCCAACGCATTAAAAATAATCTAAATTTGCCATACTCATTGGCCTAAAGACATCAACAGCTACAGTGCTATTATAATTTGGAATCTTTCCGACCTATAGGGAAAAAGAATTCAGTGACAAGTGGGAAAATCGTAGATATAAACAATTATTCAACAGAGATCACACGATTACTTTCAGACTGTGAGGAATTTTATTCATTAAAAAAAAGTAGAATTAAATGGTCTGATTTACAAATCAAGAATGTGCCTTGTCTCTGGATTTCATAATGATGAACCAGTTTTTGTGAAAATCATAATAATTTTAAGGAAAGGTACTTGTACAAAATTTGCTTGTCACACATTTACGAGCAGCACTCTTTTCCTAGGATGTTTCAAGTTAGAAAGTTCAAAAGATATTAAAATTTTGAAGTTTCAGGATTTTGTTGATGTTTATCCTCTATCAGATATAATTATTCAGTGGTTATTTAAAAGTATTGTTTATTTAACCCCAAAGAATAAATGTGAAAAATTTTCAAAGCAGTCAAACTCCAAAAACAATATCAACTTTTCACAGTTCCTTACGAATAAAGAATGTTGACGGCTATTTTCAAGTGTTGCATTGCACCATTTTGATGTATTTTTTACTTCATTTTGTTTACGTTTGAACTTATTTTTTACTTATAATATTGCATTTACATTATGATATTCATGTTTCATATAACTGAATCTGCACATTACATTATTGTTTTCTTAATTTTATTCTCTGTGAAGGATAGAGACAAACCATTACTTTCCCATGGAAAAAATTCATTTAAAAGCAAACTTTTTTTTGCATGCATGTCAGAACTGATTGTTTTCTGAAATTGTTGATAAATATGTTGTTCTGAATTGTCATAAAATATATTATAATATATGTGTAATCTTTAATGAAATGTTTCAAAAGCTGTGCATTTTTAATATTGAATATGCTGTTATATAAAATAATTTGCTTGTGTATAAACTTCATTTTTATGTATTTTTTAATGTAGCAGATGCAATACGAACTACAATCACTGTAAAAATAAATTTTTTGAAGTGAAATAAGCTTTTCATTCATGTGTTAGTTTATTCAAATGATGTTTATTACTATAGAGATCAGTTATGAAAAATCTAATAAGATTAAAAGTTAAAGTTTGAAACAAAAAAGCATTTTATCAGTACATTCTGAAATACAATAAACCATCTTGTTCTCTTGCTATTTAAATGTCCATGGTAATCAAAATGTTACGAGTAAATTATTTGGAAATATATCTAAGCGTTACAATTGTGTCTGTAGAGGAAGGGACATTTTTTAAAATAAAGTAGAACTGTACACATTTTCAAATATAGGTGCAAGAATTTTTATTTGCAAACCATATTTGGCAATTTATATTAATCTGATTTTATTCGATTGTTCTTGTTTTAATATATTATCGTAAAAAAAAATATGTGCTGTATTGTTTTTAGCAGACTAGAAATGCGTACATTTATAATACTATAATATACAAGTACTTTTGTAATATAGTATACACCTAGAAGTTGTCACTTCTGCCTTGTGGTCTTACGTGTATCCGTTTGTTTTTATTTACAAAGGAAAATGTCTAAAAGCACAAGAAAAATTAAGCTACTTCAAAGAAATCAAGAAGGGAGTAAGCTAAAATCTTGAACAATTCATTGTGAATTTATTTTTCAGGTTTGTATAGAAAGCTTGCAATTTCGAGAATTATGTGTTTCAATGAAAAATACAGTTCCATTTGAAAATGAAGCAGAAAAAGTTTGTTTATGCTATTAAATTAAATGTTTGATTTTCCTTTTTAAAGTTTCCCTAATTATTAATCTCTGAAAAGTTGAATTAAATTTGCAATTTAAATGTTTTAATAAACTAATAATTTAAAAACAAGTACTGCATAAATGAACAAAAAAAATTCACAGTAATAGTAGGCAGTATCTCAGTTTGACTTCACATGTATCGTACTTAATGTATTGGGAAAATACCTGATTGTTAAAGGATTTATGGGAAACCATTATATGCATGGACTCTCATATCTTTACAGAAAAATGAAGCATTTTTTCTGAAATTGGAACAGTAATGCAATCTTGGGTTTTTTTAATATTTGAAAAAAATTCAGTTTGAATATTCTATAAAATTTTCTTCATAAGTAAATTAAATTGTCAGAGGCATTGCTTAAATTTCCAGATACTTCAAGTGGTTTTTATGCTTCACTCAAAATTTTCAAATTAAGTATTAAAGCTTAATATGTCATTATTTTATTTCAATTTCAGCATAAATACTTCAAATTTTATTGCAGAAAAATGTAAGGATACTGATAAACATTTTAAATTTATTATTGCAAATCTGAAATGATTTATTTTATATGAAATCATTAATAGAAATTCAATTTTATGTCAATCCATTGCACAGTGCATATGGTTATACCATATATATATACCATTCCATGGTTCAACGTATTGCCATTCCACGGTTCAATGTATTACCATCCCATGGTTCAATCAAAGCACCAGTTGATGGAGTCAAGTTTCACCATGCTATGGTGACAACTATCCATGCACCATATTTTGGTGAAACGTTGAACTACTACTATTGTTACCAATTCTAAATTTAATAAGTATTATACACTGTTCAATAAATTGAAGTTAGATTTGAAATCTGTGCTTTTGTTTTCTTAAATACTTAAAATAAATTCACTGCATATTATGTATATTAATAAAGGGAATTAAATTACCAAGAAATGATAAATTTTAGTAATTATAACATCACTTAATAAATTTAACAATTTGTAAAAATGAGTCGAGTTTTTGTATTTATTTTCATAGTTCTTTTTTCACTCTGCCTCAGGCATTTGTATATTTACAAACATTCTGCTTTTTTCAAAATCGTAGTGATGTTGAGAATTGAGTAAAATTTTACCGGTTAAAAAGCAAAAATAAATAAATATTAATGCGATTGGCATTATAAATGGACATACCGTATCTCAAATTTTACCAGATAATTTGTAATAGAACCAGAGTTATTCTGGTAAATTTATCAAATTAAATGGTCTAAATTATCATCTTATTGGTAATAGAACCAGAGTTATTCTGGTAAATTTATCAAATTAAATGGTCTAAATTACCATCTTATTTGGTAGTATTACCTTTGTGTACGGTAATAATACCAAATTCCATACCAAACAGAGTGGTAAATAAACGATATTTTTCTGGTTATTTTACCATAAAGTCATTACTAAACTGCTACGGTAAAAAATACCGTACTTTATGGTGTTCCATATGAGCCAGAGAATACGGTAAATTTTACCATATTCTGGTAGTTTTGACCAGAATTTTTTTTCAGTGCGGTCCTGACAATAATGCACAGTTTTGCTAGAATTTACAGATCAAAGGCGATCTCACTCTACAGCGCCAAGTAAGAACTTTGTAAAACTGCTATCACCTTTTAATACGTTAGTGAATATTTACTTAAAAATATGGTCTCTAATTAAAATATATGTGCATATAATGATGCTTCGTATGGAATTTCAAAATTTATTACATATCTGATTTCAAAGTGCCGTCAGGATCCGAATTGCGTAAGAATTTCAAGTAGCATAAGATATTGTTACGCATCGTGAAAATAATTCATAGATTTTCGTGGGATTTAATTTTGAATGAATTTTTTCAGACTCCAAAATTTAAACCAGCGGGAGTGGTCTCCCCTAAACTTTCTCGTATACTTCTCGAAAAAGGAGCTGTTTCCCCTCCACGTGGATAAAAAAATTCGAACCTATTGTAACCCTCCAATGACTATCAGAAAATATTTAGGTAAAGAATCAAATTCAAAGAGATGCGTTCCGATTAAGTCCGTACCGATTTCTACTCTTGCTGGCTCAAGGACAAAGTCACATAATCCTTCCGCGTGCACAGGTTGCTACAAGTAAGCATGAGCGTGAGAATCGGATGAAAAAAAGCGCCAAGCAGGAGTCAATAAATATCGTGCACAGAAGATTGCGTCCAGTACGCATGAGTGAGGAGATAGCGGATTCGTTGGAGATGCGATTATACAGACCGACAAACAGTCAACCTTTTGACGGATTTGACCAAAATTTTATACGGACCTACATTCATGACGATAAAACTGTGTATGAAATTTTATCCATCTATCTATTCAAGGTTTTGAGTTATAGCGTTCACATGACCGCGGACATACAGACAGACTTCCCGTTGACGGATTTTGTCCAAAATTTCAAAGAAACCTACAAATTATGTGCAAAGATCACATACTAAATTTTATCCCAGTAGTTCTAATAGTTTTTGAGTTATCGTGTTCACAGACAGACAGACATAATTCCAAAATTGTGTTTTTCGGACTCAGGGAGGTCTAAAACGTGGAGATTCGTCAAAATCTCGAGTTCGAATTTTTTGACGATTACAATACTTTCTTTTTGTATACTTCGTATACGAGAAAGTAAAAATGAACATTTTCGCTTTCATTTTCTATAAATCTTTTCTCAATTCAACTAGTATAGAAAGATCAATCTACAGTTAATATAAGAGCAGGGTGGTGCTGTGGAAGCATACTGGGCCCCTAACCCAAAGGTCCGTGGATTGAAACCACGCCCCGCTAGTGTACGTTTGTTGTGAGACAAGGTTGCGGGCCCTGGGAAAAATCTAACGGTTATAAAATTCCCCATATGCTTTGAATAGAAAATCCTTTTTTTGCTGGAACAAAATTTCATGAGCCCATTTTCTTGGGGGAAAATATTGTCTCGGCTCGAAAACAAGTAATTAAAAATCGAAAATGGACTACTAATAAATGTTCAATACAGGTAAAAGTAATTTTAAATTGTTATTCAGCAAATTCTCGTAAAAAAAAATTGACGGTAATTTTTTTCTTAGCTATTTGTCCTTGAAATTATCGATGAACAGCAAAAAGTTGGTATGAAAAATTTCTCTACTTCCATTCTGCTTTAGTGTGTCGAATGTTGTAATGAATGATTATGTAATTATGACAAAATATATTTATTTACATTCAACGTAACGAATACTAAATTAGAAATTACATCCAGACGATAATCTCTTGTATCGTTCTTGAATATGAATGTTCGTATAAGAATGTTCTTTTTTTGCATACGTCAGATATGGAATTCTGGGATGACAGAAGAAATGTCAGAACACATTCTTACTATCCAATGAAACACAATCAGGCTGTTCTTACAGCCATTAAGATACAAGGAACTAGAACAGCTGATATTCTGATAGCTTACACCACACTGCTCTAAAATAGCGAAACCACTAATTCAGGGGTTCCCAACCTTTTTTCCCCTCGCGTACCACTTGATTATTCTTTTGTTTTTGCGTACCCCTTAATATCATATCCAACTCCCCCCATAGCCATCCGTTTATACAAAGAAGTTTTTATCAGTAATGTTAAAATTAGCTTAAGTTGGCTTAAAGGTGAAAATAATCGAAGTATTAACATTTGCAGAACTTATTTTTGATTTTACATTTTATTCCACTTTTACAACAGTATTACTTCAACGCCAAAGCAAATGAAACCAGTATTGTAATTCTTTCGCTTTAACTTATAAGGATAGCTAAAAGTTACATTTCGTAATAACCAAATATTCAAGTGATATAGTTATTAAATAGCAAGTATTCACTTGGAGAAACAGAATTCTCATTTTTTAAAAATCCCTTGCGTTTTCTTGCTTCCGCCATTAACAACTTTGATTTTGAGTTCCCCCAAATGGTCCTTCGTGTACCTCCAGGGGTACGCGTGCCACAGATTGGGAACCTCTGCACTAGATAATAGGACACCAATGAGTGTTAAGTGACACTATGTTTTGTTCTAACGTATTTGGATTTAGTTTATCTTCTTATTGTACTGCAAAGAATTGAGTGTAAATTTGGACGTTTCCCTATTGACTGATTGGGTCTACAGATCTATAATTTTGATGTTATGACCACATATCAAATTTCATCGGTCTAGATTTGTGAATTTTTGAACATCACGTTCACATGCAAACGAATAAATAGACTGACAGGCAGTCAATCAATTGACAGATTCGGTCTAAAATATGTTTACAATTAATATCAGAACTATATGCCAAATTTTATCCATCCAGATGGTTGTGGTTTTGATTTATGGTCCTCACACGCATACGGACAGACAGACAGGTTTTCCTTTACCAGGAAAGGATTTCGACCAAAATTTGATTGAAATTTATAATTTGGTATGAAGTCCATATACCAAATTCCATCCGTTCAGCTCGTTTTCGTTTCGTTTTTGGCTTATCGTGTTCACATACTGCTGGCTGTAATTCCAAAAATGTTTTTTTCGATTCAGGGAAGTCTAAACAACGGAATTAATAACTGGAGGTCGAAGTTTTTGACGAATGCAGTACAATAGAACCTTGATTTACCGAGCTGATTGGGACCGTCATCACCTCGGATAATTGAAAACTCGGATAAGAAAGATTAAGTTTAATAAGACTTCTTTTCTTTCGACGAAGTTTTCCAAAAATTTTAATTTGAAATTATAAAAATATAATTCCGGAAGTACTACCACATATTAACATTTTAGCAAACTATTTTATAAGTTACGAAACTTCTTGCGGGTATTTATTGAAACAGTTTTGATATTAATAAACTTCGGAGTAATCAGGTTCCAGTATTCGCTTATTAAAAAAAAAACAGTTTTGATAAGAGAATTCGGGAATGCTACTGATTCTCGCTGTTCCCTTTGCATTT